TTTTTTTTTTTTTTTGGTTGCAATTTGGCTGGGGCTGGGTTTGAACCTGCCACCCTCGGTATATGGGTCCAGGGCCCTACTCACTAAGCCACAGGCACTGCCCTACCCTATAATTCTTATGTGTAGTCACTGGACTGCAAAAAAAGTTAAGAACAATTTTATCTTCTTGCAGGTGAAAGGCCTTCAGTAAAAACAAAAATTGGGGGCCAGAAAATCTGCCTTACAAAAATGAGTCAATTACTAGTGTTTTCATTTAAAAAAAAATTCTAGCCCTTGGTAATACTTTTTTAAAAAATATGACTAATATATTGATCAGCAACTAATATATTGATCTGTAGCTGAGCTTTCCCGATGCAGGTTCCCCATGAATGGCGCGAAGGTTAGCCAGGCAGACCCCGCTTCAGAGACTGCGCGAGAAGGAAGGGAACCCCGTACTGCTCAGGTGGTGACGGCATTAGTCAGCACATTCCCTCCCGGGGCTCCTGGCTGCTGGTGATGCCACCTGCTGGAGACGCCAGAAGCTCATGAGGCCGCAGCCAGGCGGGCCGTCGGGGTGGTTCTGAGGTTCCCAGACGCGGGGCAGGCAGGCGTCCATGGCAACCGGTGTTGCGCCAGGATTTCCTCTTTTTGCCGCCAGCCAATAACGGCAGGCATGGCAGAGGCAGCCTGCAGCCTCTGTGCCCCAGCATTCATTGGACAGCTTGGGGTCCACTCCCTTCCTTGCCCCACGGCTGCGCCGCTACCCTCAGCCTCAGTTGGGTGGGGCTTGTGCAGTGGGCGAACTGTCTGGAGTGTCTCCTCTGGGGAAGGCAGGTGTGTGGGCACTGTCTGGGGTGTTGGGTGGGTGACTAAATTGCTCGGTAGGCGTGAAGTTGAGGAGAAAGTGCTGTCGTGTTCTGAGCTGGCAGCCTCTGCAGATGGATCCTCTAGCTGTCCTTGGGCCATACACATTGGTCGCTGGGGCAAGGAGGATGCTTTTGTTAGCTTTGCCGTTTTAAGTGGTTTAGGAGCAGTTGATGAAGGCAAGAGCTAAATAATGCATGTTCCCACAGCTGGACAACCAGGCTACCTCTGCAGAGACGACCCTGTTAGTTCCTTCTATTTCTTATTACCATTTCCCCATGTCTGAAACTTTTCTTTTATATCAAATAGGAATGTTGGAGAAAACAAACAAAGGAATAATGGAACATACACAGAATGTAAAAATATAAAATGCAAAAGTGAACCATACCCAGAAACCAGTAGACATTTTTGTGTATGTCCTCCAACAAAAGCAGTTTTTGTTTTACAAAGCTAGTGTTATACCAGAGCTTGTTTTCTGGTACTTTTCTCCACACAGCAATATATTATGAACTGTCAGTATGCTTTCTACATCATGGTTTTAACTGGTGGCTGTATTTGATCATAGAGTTTATTTACCAGTGCCTTAGTTGTTTGGATACTCTGATTAAGCTGTGGTGTGTGGCTATTTTTGCACACATGTGTATTGTCAGGACAGTTTCTTTAGAGGAGATTTGCAAATCAAAAGGAGCCCCTCTTTATTCCTAGGGGACAGAGTCCCCACCTTTTCCAGTAGGGACTGGCTTCTGGGGAAGGACAAGCAGCTTCTTTGTGTTGTGTGAGGGCTTTGTTCTCTGGGTTCCAGTCCTTGTTTAGGTATCTTCTTTCAACTACTTTCAACCTCTCTTTCTTTATCTGTGAGGTTGTTTTCACCTACAGGTTGTTAATTTGAAATGTATGTGAAATGTGTTGTAAACTAACCCTCTACAGGCAACATCATGGTGCTGTTAAAGTAACTGTTTGTTGTGAGTTTGGGGTCAGAACCTGTTTCTTCATCCTGTAGACTTCAGGTGCCCCAAGTAGTAGAGCACTGGCCCCATATGCTGGAGGTGGCAGGTTCAAACCCAGCCCCGGCCAAAAAAACCCTACCAAAAAAAAAAAAAAGTAAAAAACCAGATGCCTCTGGCACAAGGTATCCACATTCATCCTGGCTTGTTTGTTTTCAGGAAAAATGCTGTGGAGCTGGAACTTGCCAAGTGCAGGATGGACATGATGTCTTTGAACAGCCAGCTGCTGGATGCTATTCAGCAAAAGCTGAACCTCTCCCAACAGCTGGAGGCTTGGCAGGTAATTGAGAGCCCTAAGAACCAGGGTGAGGGAAGACTTCAGGAGGAGTCTCTAAACCCAGACAGAGTACAAGGAGAGTTTCCTACTAGAGGGTCCCGTGCAACTAGGTGAACAGTGACCCCAGTTCTAAACCTGGCAAAATCCAGAGCTCATGTTCCCCATAGTCCCTAGGGAAGAATGTTCAAGGATGCTCTTCAGGTTCGGTGCCTGTAGCACAGTGGTTACCACACTGGCTACCACACTGGCCACATACACCAAGGCTGGAGGGTTTGAACCTGGTCCAGGCCATCTAAACAACAATGACAACTGCAACAAAAAAAAGCTGGGCATTGTGGAGGGCACCTGGTGGGCACCTGGTGGGCACCTGTAGTCCGAGCTACTTGGAAGGCTGAGGCAAGAGAATTGCTTAAGCCCAAGAGTTTGAGGTTGCTATGAGCTGTGATGCCATGGCACTGTACTGAGGGCAACATAGTGAGACTCTGTCTCAAAAAAACAAAAAGGATACTCTTGAGAGCAACAAACTCCAGGCTTCTACTGTTTGGAGGTATTGTCATCTCTAGACTTGGAATGGGGTGCTTCTTCAGGCTGGGTTTTGTTAAAATTAGAAACAGCTGGCTGACATGGAGGGCCCAGGAACCCCTTTACGTTTGGATGAAAATTCACAGCTGGGTACATCTCCGCACTCCTCCAGTGGTGGCAACTGCTGCTGCCCTTCTCTTTCTTAAGGGCTAGCCTCCTTTTTCCAAAGAGCACTATGCTGGTGCAGACCCTGGGCAGAGTGAGTTAGTCCATCTCTATGACCACTGTTTTCAAGATCCCACATGGGTCCCCACTGGTCTGGAGCTGTGACTGGCTTTTTGTTGATGAGGTTGAGGTAGTACAATTAATGTTTCTCCCTAGGAAATCCTAACTAGGCAGAAGGAAAGCCACCTGCAGCTTTACTAAGTGTGCCCCACTACAGAAGGCAGGTGGTTGGTGACTTTCTCCCAGGGCCTCATCGGGCTGGTCATGGAGCACTGGCCCTATCATGGAGTGCTGGTCACTGGCCCCAACACTTGCCAACAGCCAGCTGCCCACACCCCAGCTCACTGCCCATTCTCTTTCTTCTCTCCTGGCTACAGTTTGCTTCCTCAGGGCTTTTTACTATCTGGCTCCTTTGGTTTCTGATCTAGTGGCCTTTCTCAGTTCCCGTATCAACAGCTTTAGTTGTACACCCCTCCTGCCTTTGAGGTGAGACTGAGACTGCATCCCATCCACTCTCTCCCTGCTGTCATCGCTGTGCCATCCTTGCCACCTCCCCTCATGGGTCACCATGTCTGTGTGCCAAAGCCCGACATCATTTCTGTGCAGTGTGATGTGCCCTCAACCCCTGGCCTTGCTCTTCCCATCACTGTCATGTCCAGTGAGTTCCTTGACACGTGTGGCCTAGTGCTGATGGGATGACCCTGGCTTTTTGGTGCCACCTTCTCATAAATGGCTGTTTTGCCCACTGAAGGAACAGTAGGTGTGGAATTACAGGCAGCATGTTGTCTGTGAAACTATAGAATGGGGTTACATTGGCAGCTTTGAGAGAATTTTTTTCTGAAGGGCCTTTCGCATTCCTGTGTCATATGTAGCACAGCTTTTATTGAGCATGTCCTAAGGCAGGGCACTATGCTGAGGATTCTGCACTGGAGCCTTAGAAGTCAGTACCGTGTATCGCAAATACCTGGCACAGTGACAGATTTGACAGGCGAGGTGGAGAAAAGGGGAAGGAAGAGAAGGAGGGAAAAGGGTGGAGAGGTGCTCCAGAGAGCAAGACCAGAGCCAGGGAGGGTAAGAGAGCTGTACTCACTGGCACCCTTCTTTTGTGTTGAAATCTACAAAGAGTATGCCAGAGCCTGGCTTCATCTCTGCAGTGCTAATGTGCACTCAAGGTAAGACTGAGGAGGGATAGACAGACAAGCTGGTCAGGCAGAGGAGTGGGTCAGCCTGGTTTCTCACCTTCATAGCCAGTGGCTGTTCTGCTGCAAAGGTGGTCTGCCTCGCCACAGGGAGCCTCCACCCCAAATGCAGCCTCCCCTGTCCCATGCTCAGATATGAATAGTAACTAGCTCTGGGGTTTAGCCAAAGTGTTTTTACCAGGCCATCTCAGAACCCACCATATTCAAGGATGAAGGAATCAGGCAGATGCTTCTTACGGTTACTACTGATTTTAATTACCCAGGGCTGCTTGTATTTCTAAACCAGCAGTTTTCAAACTTTGTTAGTGGCAGAACCCTTTTGTCAAACAGAATGTTAGAGACTCAGAATCTAGCTGCTAGAATGGAAAGGTCCAGAAGCTTTGCTGTGAAGGAGAAGGTGCCCTCTAAGACAGGGCAGGGAGGTGCTTTTTAGACAACTCAAGCAAATTGAAAGGGGAAAGGTCCTAATTTTCCCCAGTAGGAAGCTGGAAGAAATGGGTCTTACAGCCCTTTGGTGCAAGACAACCCCTGAAAGTTGTGATGCCCTTGACCTCTGCTGCAGATAGGAGCCTTGCTACAAATAGGGAGTCTGTTTCTTTGCAACTTGGAGCTACCAGTGGTGCCTGGCTATCAGCAACTCGGGCTGGAAATAATGGGAAGGAAAGCATGGGAGAAACCCCCTGAGGCCAGGCCAGTAGCTGGAGAGCTGGGAAGCCAAGGTCCTAACCCCCCCTAGGGCCTGCAGGGGTGGAGGTGACAATCTAAGCCAGAGGCACCACATAGGACACAGGGCCCAAAGGGCTGGTCACCAAGGCTGAGTGGTGGCATGAGGACCATTATATGGGCCTATAGGGACAGATCAGCTGAGTGGTCACCTCAGGAGTGCAGAGTTCCAGTAGGTCCCTTGGGAATAACACTTTTGGAGAGAAGCCAGCCCAGACCCTAAGGAGACTGAGGCACCACAAGGCTCTCCTGTGCATCTGGCATGGTGCCCAGGCTCATTGCTTTCTTGATCAGGGTAGTCCCCCTCCAGCCGCTCACTCATCTCATCCTCATCTCGCATCCATCTGTCCGATACTGCCACCTCTCTGTCCACCCCTACGGATGGATCAGAACCCTGCTCATCCCTGGCCACTGTTCCTCCCTTCTGCAGGATGACATGCACAGGGTCATTGACCGGCAGCTGATGGACACGCACCTGAAGGAACGGAGCCAGCCGGCTGCTGCCTTCTCCAGGGGCCACAGTGCAGGGCGGGGGGATGAGCCCAGCACCACTGAAGGCAAACGGCTCTTCTCGTTCTTCAGGAAAATTTAAGTTGGGAGGAATCAGGCCACCAGGGATGGGTGGACTGGGGGAGGCTGAAAAGGTGGTGGGGCAAGGGCCTCCCTTGTGGCCTGGGACTTGGCAGTTGCACTGCCCCCATGCTAGGTCCCAGTGGATCTGGGAGATGCACTCCTTTTGGCTGGTAGGGATGGAGACCTCGAGGGTGGGGGCCTGCCTGGCCTCTGAAGGCTGCCCTCACCCCAGCTCCTGGTAGAGCCTTCCCCTGGATCCTGTCACTGAGCAGGCCTCAGGCTGCTTCCCAAAGTAGCCCCTTGTTTGGGCTCTGCAGCTCAGACCCAGTGGACTGCAGCTCACCCTGTAGGTACTACTTGCCTCCTTGGTTTTAGAAAATGGGGAACAGAAAAAATGGAGGTCCTTCTCTGCATGCCTCAGAAGGCCTGGGCCTTCGGGGCTTATTCTGACGGGCAGTAGGCCCAGGGCCTAAGCCTCCTTCCTTTCCCAGCCTCAGCCCAGGGAGTAAGGGGAGGCAGCCCCTCACCCACGTGCATGCATATCTGCTAGAGCACCTCTGTGGCCACAGAGCCTAAGAGCTGGGGCCCACCCCAAGCTTGGCCGAGGTCATCCTGATCCCCAGGGAGGAAGGAGGCCCTGTCACCTGGCTGCCACTGCTGTCCTTTCCAGCCTCTTTCAGTGCAGTCTTTGCCCCTTAGCAGAGCCCACGCCAGGCAGTGTGTTCTCACTCGTCCACTGCTGGCTTCAGCTATCCAGCCCTTTCTCCTTCACAGGACCAGGGCTGAGAGGGGTCTCTTCTTCCTGTAGCCCCTACCCCTTACATATACAACTTCTTGGCCCAGCAAGCAAGTCCAGGCTACATAATGGCCCCAGAGGTGTCAGTGGTCAGCCAGCCCCCACCTTGAAGGCAGTATTGGCACCACAGGATGGATGGAGGGGGGAGGCTACTGGAGCCTCCAGATACTGCCCACTAGGCCTTCACCAGGACTAGGCCTGCCCCTGCTGCTGCTCCTCCCTAGGCAGCCACTCCCATCTGCACCTAGGCCCCAGTAGAGGCTCCGAAGCTGCCCACAGCTGATCCAGTCTCCCTCCCTCACCATGGGAAAGCACAGCAGGGATGAGCGGAAAGAATGTACTTATAGATATGTACATAATACAGTGCTGTAATTTTGTATGTAACAATCATGTAAATACATGTATGGGTTTTATAATATACTATATATAAATCTATAAAGGCATATTTTTAGAAAAACAGCACACCACTGCTTCTTTTGAAAATAGTCTGAATAAGAATAAAATGAATTTCTACACAGCTTCCTGTCTCAGTCGCTGGGTATTTGGAGGGATGGTTTGGTCTGAATGCAGGTGATGTCATCTGGGCTGCTGCTGTAAAGGCAGCAATAGTGTATACCCTGTACCTGTGAAATCACCCCAGATGCTGGTCTCCTATCAATAGATTAGGCCAGGAAAGGGCATCTCTCCTAAAGGGTGGCAGCATCCTGCCCCACACCACTCCTGCAAGGCCTACTGCCCCCCTACAAGTGCTGCAGTATCTGTCTGCCAGGCACATCTGCCCATACTTCTCCCCATGGCCAAGGGCAGAGCCTAGAGCTTGGTACTTTGAGCCACGAAGACACCACTCCAGGCAAAGATTTCCACAGCGTCCTTTTGGGCCTGTGGAGAATAAACTCAGAGCTTCCCCTGGCACAGCCAATGCTTCAAACTAGAGAGAAACTCAGTCCTAGACTAGCTGTTGGAGAAAATGGATTTGGCTTCTAAAAGTGTCCTAAGGCCCCTGACAGGCACCTGTGCAAGACTTAGGCCAAGAACAAACAAGAGCTGGACACAATGGAAGGGAAGAAGCCAAGCCCACCCACAGCACAGCTGGAGGGAGAGCAAACAGATCCCCTCAAGAAAATTTGGCAGCTTGAACCTTTATTTTTAGTATTTTTTTTAAAAAGCATAATTAGAAACTTTCAATACAGAAATAACCCTAGCAAACCATTGAAAAGTTTTGACAGAAATTTCACATCAGGTTCACTAGGACATCGGTTCAGCCCCGTGTCCCCCACCCCCACCCAACCCCCCATTCATGCTTTTAACACTCAGTGGGACAGGCACACCATCATTGCCAAAATCACCCCAGCACCTGGGGCTGCATGTCCAGCTGCCAGAAACCATGAGGGCTTCTAGCCTGGGCTGGATGCTCCCAGGACACCCCACTTATTGCTAGAATTTGCAAGCATGCCCTCACTGGCTTCACCTGAGTGCTCAGAGGCAAGTGTGCCCCCCACTCACCAGTATAGGAGCCCCCAGCACTGAACATCCCCACAAGGCCCACCATTTGCCAGGAACAGTCCTGAGGACGAAGCTCCTGCTTCTGCCCCCTTCCAGCCCTGCCCCACCCCCTCCCGTGCCACAGCCCCCCACTTCCCAGGCCCACCAAGCTCCCAGGCCCACCAAGCTCCCAGGCCCATACTGTGGCTCCAAAGTGAAGACCTGCCACACAGATCCACCAGCTTTGGCAGTTTGGGCAAGTGGAGAGACAGGTGAGAAGAAACTCCCAGTTTTTTATTGATTAAAAACCCACCCACAGTGTTAACATGGAAAATCTGCAGTGTGATCTATGATGTGATTGTCCAATCAGGGCTTTGCCTAGAAATCGCCTAGGAAAGGAAATCTGATAAAACACATTATGGTGTTGAAATAAATTCTTCCCAGGTTACTTGATCCTTTCAGGGGAAAGGGGAATGAAGTGTCCAGGCTTAGGGAGCAGTAATCAAGTGCAGATGACCCTGGTTTCTCCTCCAGGGGCTGAAGTAGATCAAAACTAGCTTCTCCCAGGCCCCCAGGCATTCCTTTCCACTGCTAAGAAATCCTCCTGCCATCTTTGCACTACAATGCTTCTGTCAGTGGTCCAAGGCTGCTTGCCATCCCAGTGCAGGGTGTCATCCCCACAGCCCTGCAGCCCCTGGTACCCACATCCCAGGTGCAAAGGTGCCTAGTGCTGCATTATAGACCCTTGAACTCTAGTGGGAGGCCCTTTCTCCATTCCCACCAAGACATAGCCAAGAGCCCAGCTCCACCATGACAGGAAGCCTTTCACTTTTTCTAAAAACACTGGACCCAAAGAGGGGTGGCCACAACTTTTACTGCTGTGCCATCAAACCTAAGGGAAAGAAAATAATTGTGAAGAACTTAATTCATTTAATTTGGCTTCATTTTCTTTATCTGTTAAAATAATGCTCCTATACCCCCTGTAAGCCCCATCTCTGCACAAACAGACCCCTACCTTTCTGTTGGAACTGAAACATGTTCGTATAAATTAGAAGCCACGGCTACTCTGGGTTTGCAGCTCAGAGGCATCTAGAAGGCAGGACAGGAAATCTGTTGGCCAGAGGGCAGGGCTGACACTTCTGTGGAACCACAGGGCTGGGGACCTACCTTGAGGCTGTGTTCCCCAGTTCCCAGAGGAGAATGGGGAAGGAAGACAGCCTGCACAGGCCCTGAAAAGGCCAAGACCCTGTGTGCTGGGGACAGAAGTCAACAGCCTATAGAAGAGAATGAGCAACACAGAGCCCACTTCACCAGCGTAGGTTGGCCAAAGATGCAGCTAGAATATGATGCTCTCTCCTCGGGAAGCTGCTGAGGGTTAAGATGGGACAGGGAGGGGAGCAAGGAGGGTCCATTGCAGCAGGTTGGCATTAAGGAGGCAAAAGCCAGAGCAAGACGAGGTGTGCGGCTGGTTAGAGCAATATACACTATGTACAAACTCTTATGGTTAATCAGTCCGCTCAGCTGGCAGCATCCTCGCCAGGTCCAGGCGCCATGGCTGGGGAGGAGGGGGCACCAGTAAGGAAAGGCAGGCTGGTCCACACCTTCTTGGCACTGGGGGGTGAGGGAGGAGGAAGTGCCGATGGTGCCTCCTGATACAAAAACGTGGAGAGAATTCTTTAAATAACGGCACAAAACTGAGACTGTCCCCCGAGGGGCCCCCGACGGGCCTCGGGCTGGAAGAGGGACCGCAGTGCAGTCTCTGCAGTGGCCTGGGACATTAGCAGCAGCGTTTCTTTCGTTTACTGTTCCTCGTGAGCTTCACCACATCGTTCTGTTGTTGCTGCTGCTGTTTTGCCAAGTTGTCTTTCTTTGCTCGAAGGACCAGCTCTGTGATGCAGTTGAACATCTGTGGAAAAATAAAGAGGTAGGGCAGGCCTCAGACCCAGGGAGAAGGCCCTGCTGCCTACACAGCGATCTCTCCTGGCCCAGCTTTCTATTTCCACTGCAATTTTTTTTGTATGTATGTCCTCAAAACCCATTCTAGAAGGAAGTGGCAAATTATTTTATTTAAAGATCAGAAAGGAATAGTATCGTTACTTGGAAGGAGAGGAGAACTCCTGACTCCAGCCCAGGAGTTCAGGCCAGCATGGGCAACACAGTGAGACCCCTGTCTCTTAAAAAAAGGGAACATTAAGACCCATGAGCTGTGACTTCATGAGTCAATCTCTCAGGGAGTTTCCAGTCTTTTTTTCACACAGAGAAGGAACCCCTTTTAGTTCAGCTGGAATCATCTCTTAAGACAGATAAAGGTGCCCCTGAAGCCAGCTCCACACTACCTCACTACACATAGGCCCATAGGTCCTGCCTGGAGCCTTTCCCAGACTCCTAATTCCTTCCAATACCAGAATCCAATGAGACTCCATCTACCACCACAGTCCTCTCTTCCACTCGGCCCTGGAAAGGTGAGTTGTGGTCACTGTGCTGGTGGGAGCATAGTAAGATTAAAATATAGCCAACATCTACAAAGCATGCTCTGTGTGCCAAGCACTGAATGTGACTTTCTTCACTCAGCTCTCACCATGTGGAAGGCAAGGAAGGGCTCTCCCTCCCTCCCAGTCTACAGATGAACAAAGGAAGCCCCAAAGAGGTGAAGTCCCCATCCAAGGTCAGACCAGCCCTACCCTCAAGCTGACTTGATGAGAAACCTGCACTCCCCACCTCTGTGCAGCACGTGTCCCCAGAAGCAGTAGGGGTCCCAGCGTCCCTTGGGCCTCTAGACTCCACACACCCTAGGGCAAGCCTCCCCCAAGGCCAGCAAATGGAGCCACTGCTTTCCCGCAGGCCTGGCAGGAGTGAATGGGAAAAGCCTCAGGCTTTTTTTAGTTCAGGCTCAGCCAGTCTGCAGGGGCCCATGTCCCGGGAAGCCTCTGAGAGGTGTCCACCTGAACTCTGGAGGTCACAGGACCTGGTCTCTATAGGCAAGCCAAGGCCCCAGAGAAAGCCAGAATAGGAAGAGGTAACTGTAAGGACCGAGGAAACAGACAACAGGAGGCTTTGTGGTAAGGGCTGGGTGATACTCCTTAAGTTACTTAAACACTTGGAACCTCTGTTTACTTATTTGAATAATTATATCTACCTCAGAGGACTGCTGCAATATAAGCTTAGAACTTCAAAGGGCCTGGCACAACTCCTGGCAAATAGCAGGCACTCAGTAAATGGTAGTTATGATGATGTTTTCTGTTGGTCACTTAAGATGCCCTGCATAGACCAGGAATGGGGAGAAGGGAACCATGGGGCAGAGCAGAGCCAGGCAGCAGCCAGAGGCGCACTGTGCCCCACCAACCCCAGGCCTCAGGCCCTCACCTCTTCCACATTGACGTTCTCCTTAGCGCTGGTCTCGAACAACTGGATCCCCATCTGCCCAGCAAATTTGTAGGCATCTTCTGTCTCCACCACTTTCCGCTCAGGGTCGTCATTCTTATTGCCCACTTCAAAGCAAAGCAGAGTCAGCCCAGCCCTGAAGACCACCTCTGGCCACCCGCCATCCCACCATCCTCACCCCTCTGGGTCCAGCCTCACCTAATATTCGGCACACATCATCACAGTTCTGGTTGATTTCGTGAAGCCACCGCTTGACATTGACAAAGGACTCTGCACTGGTAACGTCGTAAACCACAATGACCCCGTGAGTCCCCCGATAATACCTGTGGAGCCAGGGTGTATGTTAAACCTTCAGCCCCAACAAGAATAGCCCCTTCTCTAGGACCTGCCTGCTCACATCACAACAACAGCCAGGGGAAAGGCAAGGGGGTTGCCAAAGCTTCACCCCATGACCCCGCAGAATTTCATTTCTCCCTAACCTCAGCTGACACACTTGGGCCACATGTGGCCAACAGAAAAGGCTGCATGAGCAGCACTGGCTTCACATACCTGTCCCGAGGACACCACCAGAGTAGGAGGGCTTGGCTCTGAGGTGGCATACCTGGTCTGAGGGAATCACCCCATGCTGTTCAGAGTCTGCAGGCTAGCTTAAAACTTCTTTGAAGTTCTTGTTTAATTTTTGAATTCAGGTAATTTTTTGTATTTGACATGTTATCGCTATCTTTGAACTTTCAAAAAACTTTTCTCTCATCAAATCTGTTTTAGAGGAACACCTTCCTAAGAAGCTGCACCATTTGTGAATCCTTGGCAAAATCTGCATCCCCTCCCCCAGGGCAGGTGAGCACCTCCCTTCCTGTTGCTCTGGGCTCTTCCATGCTGGTGGCAGGGAGAGCATGGAAGTCATACAGGCATCCAGCTCATGGGATGGCCGGGAAGAGGGAGCCTCACAAAGTCATCATGCAAACATGTAGACTCCAGGGCCAGCTAGAAGGTCTGGAAAGAAGAGGCATGTCAAATGTTCCTCTCCAGACTCTGTGTTCCATCCAGCCTGCTGGTTCAGGAGAAGAGATGAAGGACCAAAGCCATGTTTTTCCCCTGAGCCCTCACAGAGCCAGCAGCCAGGCACTCCCCACTCCAACACTATAGAACCAGCCAGAGCCCTCTCTCTGCACCTTCTCCCTAAAGCCACAAGGATTCTCCATCCTTGGGAGCTCCTCAGGATACCAAGAATGCAGACCATGAGTGGACAGGCTGCTTCCTCTAACTTCTGGCTGTTACTGGCCCCTAAAACATCTCCATGTGCTCGAGGCTCATCAGGAGAGCAGCAGCCTGGAGCCCAAGCATGTCCAGAGGCAGCACAATGCACTGCGAGCTGGGTGAGGATGGAGCAGCCAGGCTGGCATGTGTAGCTCCATTCCCATCCACCTGCCTGTCAGCTCTGTCTAATTATGCACATCTGAGGACCAATCCCGGGACAAAAACCAACTCTGGATCCCACTGTGAAAGGCTTGGGAAGGCCACTGTATTCCCCTTGCCATGCCTCAGTTTCCTCAACTGTAAAACCCTCAGGGTGGTTGTAAGGAATAAAGGAGATAATGTATGTCACCAAGGACTTGGGAGCAGTCACTGTCAATTCTGGGTACTCTTTATTATTATTACTAATGTAACTTCAATGACCATCTGGAATCCCAGAGAAAAGTGGCAGAAAAGCAACCCACAGTTCAGTAGGGGAGCCCTGAAGGCTGCAGAACAAGAAGGGCCCCTGTTATGCCCCGGGGTCAAATCCAGCCTGCCCCTGCCCACTCGGTCTTCCCACTGGGACTTTCTCCCACTGCCCTCCTTCCGCTTACAGCTTGGCTCCCAAGATGGCAGCACTCCTGAGCTTAGAGGGAGCTGTGACAGTCAAGCCACCTTGGCACTGAGCCCAAGAACCAGCTCTAGCCTCAGCTGGGCCCTTTTGCAGCTGCTGCTGTGAGCGCCAGCTCAGCACAAGGGCGGCATGGCAAAGCCTTCCGGAGTGGGTGTGCAAGTGCATGCCAGAACCACAGGCCCAGACGACTGTCCCCTGCCAGCAACGGAAGCACGAGGGGTGGAATCCCTTTGCAAACTCTCCTGTGCTGAAGATTATTAAAGATTTCAAGAAATGCCAACAGCTATGGCTGCAGCACAAAGCCCCCTCCTGCTCCCTGGGAACCTCTACCTTCTTTGGGGCCCAGGGAAGGGGGTTTACTCAAGAGCAGAAAACTAGTCTGGGGATGAGGTTAGGGGCACAGAGTTCCCAGCCCATTACTACCAGGAATCACTCCCACTTGCCAGAACCCCACTGTAAGCCAGACACAGTGCCTAATTAATCTTTGCAACAACCTAGTCCAACAGACATCAGGTGAACCATTCTACCAGTGAGGATGTGAGGCTGAGAGTGGTCCAGTGCCAGGAGCCTCCCCTCCTTGTCACCCACTCATCTCCAACTCGACCTCATATCTCCCCAGCATCACCTCTCAGGGCCAGGAAACCTCAGCCACTGAGGTCAAGAACTTGAATGACAGGGCTCTTTCTTGTTAGGTTATCAGGAAGCAGTTTTAGTTTCTCCTTTAGTGAATCAGAAAAGGTCATGCTATTGTGCCCTGACCGCCCCACTGCTGCAAACTCCTCAATCCTCTTAGAGTCCTTCCTTCTTCTCCAGAGACAATTAACAGGGTACCAAGTCTTCTGGTGAACCGTGGCAGGCCCTGCAATGCCTCTTGCCTCATGAGAGGCAGAGCCAGAAACTCCATGATGGGGCTAACCCCCCACTTCCCTGAGACAGACAGGTGGGACAGTCAATAGGCCCAACCCAGTACCCCTAAGCCACCAGTATGCAGGTCACCCCCTTTTCAAGTAAGCTGGCAAAAACCCATATTGCCCTCAGGCCCTGAGTAACTCCTCCAAGTCTCCCCATGGAATGAAGGAGCCAGTTTACCCTCATCCTGCCCCGCCCTGTCCCAAAAGGAGCTGACTTCATGGTGGCTGGGAGGAGCTGTGGCTCAAGAGCAGGATCAGGCACTGAGTAAAGGCCTCAGTTCTGGCCCCTTCTAGGCAGCTAAGCTAGACTGCTTCATCCTCTCTGGGCCTATTTTCTCATCTGTAAAATGGAGAAAGATCATAGGACTTTTTATCAAGATTAAATGAAATAAAGCAGGTGAAGTCCTTAGTGAGAGGTTCGGCCCCAAGTCAGGATGTGTGAGGTCAGTGCCCAGACTTGCCGACCCAACAAGAGGTCCTTGATTGGGCTCACAGACTCCAAGCTGCCCGACACACTCATGCCAGACCCACCCTGAGCAGCCTGACCCCAGCAGTCCTCCTCAGGGCCTCACTGGCAGCTACCAAGACATATGGGGCCAGAGAGCCCTTACTTGGGCAGCCTATCAGCAAGTGGTCACAAAGCACTGCAACCAGGCAGCCCCAGCATTGGGAACCCCCAAAGTTTCAGAGAACCACAGGCCATAGCACACATGTACTCACCATAGATTTAGCCCTCTAGCTCAGGGCTGCTCAGGCTCCAGGGCCTGTCCCTCCTTCCCCAGCTACTGCCACAGGGGTGGCAGATCCTGAGGGACCCAGGATGGGCAGCCAGCCTGGGGTCTGCCCTGCTCCCATGCTATGGGGAGAAAGGGACCTCTGGCCAGGGAACTTCCTCATAGGCCTTCCCGAGCCCACTCACAGAGGAACTGCTCTGGAAGGTGCCCCCAGTAGGACAGACACAGGCCCGACTGCACAGACCACAGCATGGAGCTCAGCATGGACCACCATGAGGAGCTCTGTAAAATGGGATGATGATGGCACTGACCACAAAGCTGCAGAAAGGGCACTGAGACATCCATGTACACTCAAAGCAGGGCACACCCCACATTAAAGCCAGTCCCAAAGACAGACCCGCTGGGAAACTGAAGCACAGTGTTTAGGCAAGTTGCCTAAAGATGTGCTGTACAATTCCAAATTTGTCAGGCTTCAAACCTTACTCTTTCCTAAAACCTGTTCCATTAATAACCCAACATCTAAGAGCCCTTCACAAGATACCTGCTGCTCTGAGCTAGAGCTGCATTTTCCTCCTGCTTGTGGCTAAGAGCCACATACATGGGCAACCCGCGAAGTGGTTGGGTTTCCCATTCAACAGCTCTGGGGAGGAAAGGAAGGCCCTTCTGATGATCTCAACACATCAGTGTTTTTCCCTAGGCTTCCTTAGAGAGCCACCTCAAAGAGTCAGGCTGGGTCATCCAGAAGCCCATAACAGGCTGACCCCGGCTGTTACAACTGACATCTACCAAGAGAAAACTAACTATCATTGACTAAGTGTTTGATGGGCAGGGTACTCACAACCACCTGGTAAGGGAAATACTCCTGCTATTCCAATGGGTAAAGCACTATAGGTCTGAGGGTGAGCTGACTCCCAGCAGAAAGAGTCCAGGTCACCCTCCTGCCAGACCCAGAGTCTGGCAGGCAGACAGCAGCCACTGCCTGCTGCCCAGGGCAACAGTCATACCATGTCCCTGCTTCCTCTTGTAGCTTCAGAAGAAGGAAAGACATAGCTGAAACTGTGGCCAAAAGGAAAGGGCTCACTTCCCTAACAGCCTCAGAGACCTACCAGTGGATGTTTTTGTTTTTTGGGTTTTTTTTTGAGACAGAGCCTCAAGCTGTCCCCCTGGGTAGAATGCTGTGGCATCACAGCTCACAGCAACCTCCAACTCCTGGGCTCAAGCAAGTCTCCTGCCTCTGCCTCCCAAGCAGCTGGGACCAGAGGTGCCCGCCACAACACCCGGCTATTTTTTTTTTTTTTTTTGGTTGCAGCCATCATTGTTGTTTGGTGGGCCAAGGCTGGATTCGAACCCACCACCTTAGGTGTATGTGACTGGCGCCTTAGCCACTTGAGCCACAGGCGCCGAGCCCTAGTGGATGTTTTTACCACGACCACTCAACTGTGCCCACAGGTCAGTGAGGAGGGGTTTTGGACAGGTGCAGGGCTGGGCTGACTCACGTCGAAGTGATGGTGCGGAAGCGCTCCTGCCCCGCTGTGTCCCAGATCTGCAGCTTCACCTTCTCTCCATTGATCTCCACGGTCCGGATCTTGAAGTCCACTCCAATCGTGGTGATGTAGCTGCCTACACACACACACACACACACAGAGCATGTGAACAAGGCCCAACAAGGAGCCTGGAAGACTCTAAGGCCTAGGCTGCATGGGGCAGACCTTGGGCTCCACCCTCCCACCCTGCTCACTCCACATGCCCCACATGTTCTAAAATAGGTTCTGGGGCTGGGTGCAGTGGCTCACACCTGTAATCCTAGCACTCTGGGAGTCTGAGGTGGGTGGACTGCCTGAGCTCACAGGTTCGAGATCAGCCTGAGCCAGAGCAAGACCTTGTCTCTAAGAAAAATAGCCAGGCATTGTGGTGGGCGCCTGTAGTCCCACCTACTCAGGAAGCTGAGGTAAAAGGATTTCTTGACTCCAAGAGTTTGAGGTTGCTATGAGCTATGATGCCATAGCACTCTACTGAGGGTCACAAAGTGAGACTCTCTCAAAAAAAAACAAAAAAACAAAAAAACAAAAAACAGATTCCAGGGATATCTTTGTTTGTCTCAAACAAAGATGAGGGGAGGGTAAAAGACAGGCTACAATAAAACAAACTGATACAGGCGACGTTTTCAGAGAGTATAAGAGCTCCAAAGGAAATAAAACAAGATGGGACTAGTGTAGAGGGACAGGCTTCTTTAGAGTGGCCAGGGTGGTGGGATGTCAGCTGTGATCTGAGAATGGTGGCAGACCTATAAGACACTCTGGGTTTTTCTTCTATTTCCTTTTTCTTCTTCTTTTTTGAGACAGATTCTCACTCAGTTGCCCTGGGCTTGAGTGCTATGGCATCCTAGCTCACAGTAACCTCTTGGGCTCAAGTGATCCTCTCGCCCCAACCTCCTGAGTAGCACAGACTACAGATACCCACCACAACGCCCAACTAGTTTTTCTATTTTAGTAGACACGGGGTCTTGTACTTGCTCAGGCTGGTTTGGAACTCCTGAGCTCAGGCGATCTACCTATCTCAGCCTCCCAGAGTGCTGAGATTACAAGCATGAGCCACTGCGCCTGGCCTGGGTTTTTCTTTTTAGAGAGAGAGTCTTACTTTATTGCCCTCGGTAGAGTGCCATGGCATCACAGCTCATAGCAACCTCCAACTCCTTAGGCAATTCTCTTGCCTCAGCCTCCTGAGTAACTGGGACTACAGGTGCCCACCACAACATCAGGCTATTTTTTGTTGCAGTTTGGCCGGGACTGGGTTTGAACCCGCCACCCTCAGTATATGGGGCCAGCACCTTACCCACTGAGTCACAGCCACCGCTCAGGCATGGGTTTTTCTTTTCAATTCAAAAAGATTTTAACAACCCACAAAAATAATTTCCTTACACATAAACAGGTCATGACCTGTGGCCTGCAAATCACTGTTCCAGGCAGACAAATGACAGTGTGTAGAGTCACATGGGTTGGGAACCCAGTGGGAGGCAGGTAGAGGGCGGCTGAGGCCAGATTTTGGGCCTTTGTGTCATTTTCGAGAACTTGGACTTTCTCTTGTGTGATGGAGAGGCATTGAAGGGTTTTAATCACAGGTAGGAGCTGCATTTTAAACAGTCTCTGGGATCATCTCAGTGAGAGATGATTAGATAAAAGTTCCTGTTGGTACACAGTCCAGTCCCAGCTTCGAAAGGCCTGAACATGAGGAGGAGCATAGATTCTCACTCTATTGGGAACTAACAACACAGCAAGAGACACACAACACACACACAAATGACTACATGAAGTGTGGCAAGTGTATAAGAAAGGTCAAAGTTCAAGGTGGGGTGGAGACTGACATGGGCTTCAAGGAAGCAGTCACATTTGGGCCTAGTTTAAATAGGTAAGATTTTGGGCTGGGCACAGTGGCTCACACCTATAATCCTAACACCCTGACACACCAAGGCAAAAGGATCGCTTGAGCTTAGGAGACCAGCCTGAGCAAGAACAAGACCTTGTCTCTACTAAACACAGAAAAATCACCAGGCACTTACAGTCCTAACTACTGGGGAAGCTGAGGGAAGAGAAATCACTTAAGCTCCCACGAGTTGCAATGAACTATGATGCCACTGCACTCTAACCAGGGGACAAAGGAAGACTGTCTCAAAAAAAAAGTTTTAAAAAGGTAAGATTCCAAAGGTTCAGACATCCCACACAGAGGCTACACAATTAAAACACATTCAGGAACACACCAGCACCTGGTGGCCCTCCAGTCCTGCATACTCCCAGGAGTGCAGCCTAGCACCTAGCAAGGTTAGGCTCAATGAACAGCTGACAGCTGAATGCATGAGCCAACAGAAAAAAAGAAAACAAAGAATACACAGGCGGCACGAGAAAGCAAGTTGCAAAGATGAGGTGAAAACAGATTATGAAGATCAGGGGTTCTCAACTGGGGATGATTTTGCCTCGCCAAAGGACACTTGGCAATGTCTGAAGACATTTTCAGTTGTCACAATTGGGGGAAGAGAAGTGCAACTGGGTTCTGTTGGTCCTCACCCTTCAACATGCAGGACAGCCAGTAACAGAGAATTAACAGGCCCCAGAGTGTCAAGAGTGCTGAAGTGGAAAAACTTTGCTGTGAACTCCCACTCAGGTAAGAGGCAAATACCTCTGAAGAAAGACCCTGCCAGACATATGCATCAACGAGAAGAATCAAAAGGCTTCTGGCTGAAACCAACAATGAACTGAGATGCTGAGAGTGGAAATGGCAAGGACAGAGATGGCAAAAGAGCCCTCAAAGAGGTAATCACTGATTGCACAGGGAACATTTTTTAGCATAATTAGAGGCTGTCCATTAGTTATCATTCTTGAACAGAAGAGCGACAACAAATAGCTGGTATTTACCAAGATGACTTAGTCCCAGGCACTGCCACATGTGCTACCTCAAGTAATCCTACCACAACCCCATGTAGGAGACACCACTTTACATGTGAACAAAGGCTTAGGCACTAGGTCAAGATCACACAAAGAAGCCAACTCTTCCTACAGCACACCACCGTAGAGTTGCAAAACCACTATGAGAGATAGTAAGGGGACAAAGCCCACTTATCCACCAAGAGGCATGTGCCATGTAATCACTTCCTAAGCAGAGCTCACCCTCAACCACAGAGGGAATTTCCCCACAAGATAACCACATTCCAGTCCTCCGAGAGGCTAACCCAACCTGAACCCTCTGCAATGAACCAGACATATTTAACAAATGAAAATATACTTAATGTTACCAATGAGTGGGGAAATTTAATGCAAATTTAAATGAGTTAGCTCTTTTCACCTATCAGCTTAGTAAAAATGAAGATAACTAAGATCTAGCATTGATCAGAGCTGACGAAAGGCACTGTTAACCTCTTCAGTGGGAGTGTAAATTAAATTACTACACCTTCTCTGAAAAGCAAATTGGTAGTACCTATGCAAATTGTAAATGTAGGGCAGCGCCTGTGGCTCAGTGAGTAGGGCACCAGCCCCATACACTGAGGGTGACGGGTTCCAGCCTGGCCCTGGCCAAACTGCAACCAAAAAACAGCTGGGTATTGTGGCAGGTGCCTGGCTGAGACAAAAGAATCACCTAAGTCCAAGAGCTGGAGGTTGCTGTTAGCTGTGACACCACAGCACTCTTTATGGGCAATAAAGTAAGACTCTGTCTCTAAAAAAAAAAAAAATTGTAAATGTACATACCCCACACCTGGTGACCCAGTAACCACACTTGTATGGAAATGCATGTACAAGAACAAATATACAATGTAGCCCAAGTAATGCAGCATCACTGGGAACAGCAACTAGAAACCACACACTTATAAAGAGCACAGGTGATGAAGTATGGTGCATTCACACATAGCATAGAAAACTTTGTAGCCACTAAAAAGAACCAAGAAAGTTTGTGTGCAGCCAAGATACAGAAGGATGTTCCTTGATAAAATGAGGGGAAGGTAAATTGCCAAACAGCACATGGAGGCAGAAAAAAAGTCACAAAGACACACATTGACCAGAGGCTACCAGGGCAGCACAGGAGCCAGGTGCAGGGACAACTTATACATGCATGTCTATCTTATGATATTTCTAAACTTTTTAAAAACTAGTGGGCACAGGTCAGGCAGGATGGCTCACACCTGTAATCCTAGCACTCTAGGAGGCCGAGGCGGGTGGATCACCTAAGTTCATGAATTCAAGACCAGCCTGAGCCAGAGCGAGATCCCATGTCTAAAAGAAAAAAATAACCAGGTGTTGTGGTAGGTACCTTTAGTCCCAGCTACAGGCTGAGGCAAGAAAATTGTTTGAGCCCAAGAGTCTGAGGTTGCTGTGAGCTATGACACCAGAGCACTCTACTGAGGGCGACAAAGAGAGACTCTGTCTCAAAAAAAAAAAAAAGTGGCACAAAAAGACCCTGGGTGGGAAAAGAATAGGCCAGCAAAGGGGGCTTTTTTGAACAAGGTACACTGAGACAGACCACACAGGCTTCTAACTGAAGCTCTTATAAGGACCTAAGCCCTCTCTGTCTTCTTCCTTCCTCTGGCAACCAGAACAAGAAAGTTCCCGGCTCCGTGCCTTGTGGCTCAAGCAGCTAAGGCGCCAACTATATACACCTGAGCTGGTGGGTTCGAATCCAGCCTGGACTCGCCAAACAACAATGATGGCTGCATCCAAAAAATAGGCGGGGGTTGTGATGGGCGCCTGTAGTCCCAGCTACTTGGGAGGC